ATGGCTCCAAGGAACTTTCATGGATTTCTCTCCCCTTGAAATCACCCTGTTCACCACTCTCTTTTGGGGTATAATGGGGGTTTCTTTCTCCTCCCTGTTTCCTCCTCCAACGATGCCCCCCTCCAGCAGTAAGTAGTTCGGAGACCTCAACGACCTTATCCCCAATAGAGGAAAAAGGGAGGAATGTAAGGCCCCATAGAAGACCCCAAAGGAGGCACTCCCTAAAACATGGCGCTTTTCTCTTCCGGGTCCTAACAATCTCACCGGTGCCAAGGTGCAGCCTATCAGAAATCATTACCCGCCCCCGGCCAATCAACTACCGCCCCATGTACTAACCACCCTCTCCCGGAACCCGGCTCTATATAAATGTATGCTTCTCCCCCGAATAAAGCGGAACTTCTCTGGTGAACTGTCAGCTCGGGTCCTGTCGTCCTTTCATGAGGAAACCGAGGCCCCAAGAGAGCAGTGCCCAGGGTCACACAGCTAATAAGTGGCAGAACCAGGATTTAGACCCAGATCTTCTCAGCTCCAGTCCACCACGTGTCCTTCTTATCATGTACTCTCTATGTTACAAAGCCTGAGTTGCTGCTGCCAAAAGGATAGCCTCAAAGCCACCCCAGGCACTGGGCAGTCCTCTGCCATTCCTGTCCAGGGACATCTATGCCCTCATCACACTGGGCTTCATTATCTGTCTGTCTCTCCCCAGCTAAATTATTTTTTATTCCACAGCACCTAGTGTGAGAAAGACATTCAATAGAAGTTTGGTGAATAAAAGAACAGAAGAAAGAAATAAAACATTAAAAATATCAACATGACATAGAATATCCTGTATCATATGGACAGGAAGCCTTGGCATTTACAAGAGACCTGTCCAGAGCCTTTTGCAAATTTTCAAATCCATGGCAGCCCCTCTGAAACACACAGAACCCAGCCCTACCCTTGTCATTAATACTCCCAGAGCCTCCCAGCCCCTGCCAGGTTATGTGAGGCTGGGACCTGGGGAAAATCTCTAGGCCTAAAATAATAATCCCACCATTTCTACCTTAAATAAAATGCTGTGTAAGTGTAAAAGATTATCATTACAATGGGGATGTATCCTGTTACCCAAAGCCACTGATATAAAGGGCCCAGGAGGCTGATGAGCTTGCCCAGGCCCTGTCTGGGGACATTCACATCAACCCAGACTGGGGACATTCACATCTATGCTCAGTCACCTCTTTTCAAAGCCCAGTCAAGGAGTGTAGGTTTTGTTTCTTTTTCCCCCAACATGGTTTCTACCACGAGCTTCTCTGCTATGAGACCTCTGCCTTAGAGTCATTCCCTATCTCCTTCCAAGCTTCTTTCCTCTCACATCCCAAATCTCTTTAGCTTTAAGATGAAAAGCAAAACCTAATAGCCTGGCCTCCCCTCTTCTCCTTGTAGCGTTCCCAGATAGTCCCCTTCCTGCTGATTGTACCTTTGCCTCCTTCCTCCCTGCAAGTTGGTCTGCCTACTGGAAATGCATTTCAGAACTCTTCCAGAATGTATGTGCAAAAGGCCCACAGAGGCAGCAGTGTGGGAAGGATGCTGCTGGAGCTCCTGGGTCCCAGGAAGCTGGACTCAATTCAGGGATCTGCGAAGCATCACCACTGCCCCAGAATGCTCTGCCAGGCCATTCTCTGGTGTGCAGCCACCAGGGTATCACTTTCCTCAGGCTTGGAGTCCATCAGGCCCCACAGTGGTCAGGGGCCTGCAATGGGAGGCCTGCCCAACCCCTGCAAGACAGACTTATATTTTTCAAGGCAAACTCCACATGTGAAATGAGTTAATTTACTGAGATATTTTTTTTCCTCTTTGTCTTTTTTACTGACCGGTAACTGGATCGCAACCCTCGGTGTCGCGCCCGTACTGGGGACCGGTAACGGGATCGCAACCCTCGGTGTTGCGCCTGCACCGCGCTCAGCCAGTGAGCGGGAACCGGTCTCCACATGGGATCCGAACCCTCGGTGGGAGGGCGCACTCTCCAGTGCGCCACCGGGCTGGCCCAATTTACTGAGATTTTGAATGTATTTTTTATGCTATACAGAAGTCTACTTACATGGACAACTAAATCCTTCCCAACCCAGACTTCAACAACCATGGCCAGAGGCAGCTGCATCTAAGGAGGTCACAAATGGGATAATAACAGCTGAAAGGGACTTAAATCAGGCCTGGGTATGTCCTCTTAGCACTGGTCACTTTAGCAGAAAGCAGAGGGAAGCCCTGCACTAGACAATAGTTGCTGAGAGGGGCAGAGGGATCAGTGTAGACTCATTCAAAAAACCTACAACTGAGCAGGTTTCAAATGAGCAGGTGGACACTACGACCCATGTTCAACTACTGGGCAAACCCACTAACCTATTAGGGACAGTGAGGACCAGGTATGACTCCTGATCAGCTCAACAGGAGTCACCAAGTCCAAGCACAAAAGCCCACGAGGTCCTCTCCTGGGAAGTCCTCCCTCTTAAACCCTGACCACATGTGGTTTAGCCACAGTCCTGGCAAGCTTGGGTCTTTTCCAATGTCATAAATCCTTAGCACTCCACAGACAGGCACCTGAGAGTAATGAGACAGCTTGGAAGTGAAGGAGGAGACAGAAACTGTGAGTAGACAGAACTCAACAAGCATAGCAGCCCAAGTAAGTCATGCGCACACCAGTGTGACAACTGAGCTCACAAGAGAACCACAAACCTGCTAGGAGAAACAGGAACATCTCAAAAGCATCCCATACCCCAACTCCTGGGGTTCTACAAACAGGGAGAAGCAGGCAATTTCCCCAGCTATTAAAGAAATGCCAATTAAAATGACAACAAAGTGTCAATTTATAACTACAAAGATCAATAAACAATAAAACATGTTTAAAACAAATGACCGAGGGATGGCAATGCTGCAGGCAAATAGGAACACTCTTAGGTTGTGGGTGGTACTGGTTAACCAACACCATCTTTTGATAGTGAGGACATCAAGATCCCTAAAAATGTCAGCCTTTGACCTAGTCATCCCACTCCTGGGGATTTAGCTGAAAAAATTAAGTCAAAAGAAAGTGGGAAAATCATGGGAAGAAAGTTGTTTTATCAGTAAAATTTGTAATGATTAAAAGCTAGAAAATAAAAACCAAATGTCCACTGATAGGGAAATCTGGTATGCAACTCAATGAAACATAATACAGCCAGTTAAATGAGAAAAGCTTATGTAAGGAATGAAAGGCTATTTAAGGAATTATCTTAACCAGGGAAAAAAAAATAAGAGTAGAAAATTGTACAAATACAATGATTGTATACGAATAGATAAAAATTGGGAGGAACCACAGAAGAACACAAATAACTGTGTTGGGGTTGTAGGATTATAAATGTAATTTCATTTCAGTCCCATAAAGTTTCTCTTGATAATAAACTTTTAAGGGAGTGACCATGCTTTCCTAGCAAGGTGGGCTTGTCCCTCTCTGCTGACAATCAGGATGCCCACCACTGGCCCTTAGCCTTGGTGTATGACACACCTTGGGCTGTCCACATAGCTGGTCACACCTGGGGGATCCCACCAGGCTTCTAAGTGGGTCAGGCAGGCACGTGCACCAGCTAGTCCAACTGGCTGGGAGGCCTATGGGAGAAACATGGAGGACATTGGCAGCTGGAGAAGAGGAGAGCACAGGCAATTCCATGAATTTAAATATTGAGATGGATAATTTAAGAATCAAATGCAAGATTTGATGCAAATGCCCATCTGCTACTTAAATCTATATCCTGCCAACACCAGAGCATAGTTCTCAAATTAGAATGATCTCAAATGTCAGGTGGTCCACCCAATCTGTAGGTGGGTTATGGATGGCTGCCTGGTTTACAGATGAGATCTGAAGCTCAGAGAGGTGAGGTGATTTACCCAAAGACAGAGACTGCTAAGACAAACGCCACCACTCCACTGCCTACTAGTAGATGCATGCATGCTTATGAGGCTCAGAACATTCTTAATACAGGGTCTTGCTGCTTGATTGGATATAGGCACTGTGACTTGTGCCACAACCCAACTCACACTCTACTGTCTGCCACAGCCGACCTGACCATTCTATAGAGACACCTCCAGGAAGACATCAGGATGGCCAACCAACCCTTGTAGTCTTGGTGTCACCTACCCAAATTCCATCAATTATGGTGATGTCCTCCCCAGCTGGGACACAATAAGGCAGTCCTGCCTCATGCTCATAGCTGCCTGCACAAGCTGTGTGCACTCAACTCCTGGCCCTGCCACTTTCTGGCTATAGAATCTTGTGAGTGTCCTGGCCTTTCAGTGTTCTTGTCTATAAAATGGGAAAAATGAAGGTCTCTGTATGATACCATTGTGATGAGGATTAAATTAGGTAATAGAAGTGCTTAGCATAGAGAATACAAAATAACCCGTGTTAGTAAGATGTTTCCCTCATAGTCACTGTAAGGACTGAACAGGATGACAAATATAAAGCACCTAGCAAATGCTTTGCTTATAGTAGGGCTGTCTAAATAATAGCTATTATTATAATAATAAAGGTGTCAAACAGCACAAATGCAGTGGATTTTCCCCAGAAAGGGGTTGGGAAAAGGCTTCGCAGAGCCAGGAGGATGACTGCTCTTCCCCTCATAGAACAGATCCCTCCCTGACAGCCTCTCTGGCTCCCCACTCCACCCTCGGCCCCTCTCACCCTCCCATGTGCCCCTCCAGCCAGGAAATGACCCAAGTACCAGTCATTTCTTCCCTTTGATCCCCAGGGTCCAGTGAAAGCCAGACTTGACCATCACCCTCCGCCACAGCTACTCAGCAAACTTGCCCCTCCTCTGGGTCACTTTCAGGAGGAGGATGGGGGTAAGTGAGGCAGAGGGAAACTGCCCACCACTGATGAATCTCCTTGGGGCTGAGCTTAGGACTGCTTGCTGCTGCCCCCTGTGGCCAGTGGCTGGAGCTTCCACTGCCCTGCCTGTCCCTGCTGCCCCCCATTGGGTCCCGGGCACCCCACTCACAGCTCGAGGATGAGCACCACGTCAGTGCGGTTCTCGTAGACGTCGTGCAGCGTGATGATGTTGGGGTGCAGCACCTGCCGCAGGATGCTCACCTCCCGCTCGATCTCCTCCCGGCACACGCCCCGCCGGCTGGCCCGGCTCTGCCGTTTCTTGATGAACTTGGCTGCGTACTCGAGCCCTGTGCTCTTCTCCTGGCACTTCTTTACAATGGCAAACTGGCCACTGTGGGGACACAAACCCACACAATTAGGACATCACTGGAGCCATCAGGGAGGTGATCCCACTGTTAGCTACTAGGCCACACTAATTCAAAGTCATTCTGCCAGGACAGGACAAATCATGCCACTTTAGCCTGCCCACCTGGCTGACAACCAGTGACTGACATGGGGCAGGTACTGGGCTTTTCTTCTGTTCATATGGATCCTTTACCTTTTACCTAGAATGATTGTTAGTATTGTTATTCCCAGTGTGATGAGGTGAATACTGACAGCCTGAAAGGTTATTGAATTGATGACAATGACATGGCCCTGCATTGTAAAGCCTCAGCTGGAACCCAAGTCTAGTATCCAGATGAAATCACAGTGTCCATAAGCAGACTGGGTTGGTCAGGATCCTGGTTTGGGTGGGGGATGGGTGAAGGCAGACTAACGAAGTTAAACATCATAGTGGAAAATCATCACAGTGAGAGGGCTGGTGTGACCAGAGAGTTGTAAAATTAGGAAACTGAAGCACAAGGAGAGGTCAAGTGACTCACCTGAGGTCATCACAGAGTTAAAGGCAAAGCCAAACCTCAAAGCCAGACACCCAATCCACTGTCCACAAAGCCTCTAAAACAGTTATAAAAGTTAAGACCTTGCTTAGTCCCCTTAAAGCACTAGCACCTAGGGCTGGGCCTGGAAATCTTTCACTCCGGGTACCAAGACAGCAACCATGAAAGACTGTCCATGCCAGAGCAGCAGGCAGCTTCCCTGCATGCTCCAAGGGCAGCCCACCCCACAGGCAGGGGCAGCAATCTCCTGCTTCTCCATCTCAGTTCAAACAATCAGCAGGAGCAGGTCTAAGTTCCTGGAGATCTCCCAGTGGCATCCCTTCTGGGGGTCCTCCCACTCCTCTTCCAGCATTTTCCACCACTGCCCCATGTTTTCTTGCCACTCAAAATACCCACTGCTTGGGTAATTCAGAAAATTTTATGGTTCAGCTTAATAAGGAGCCACCAGACTCCAGGATGTACTCTCCTAGTAGCTCTGGGATAAAAGTTACACACAATGAAATGCTCTGGATATTTGTCCCAACCTCAGAAAATAGCATTGCATCTGGACCATTCCATTATTAGAATAATCCTCAGTTTGACAGTCTTCAAATAAGCTGAGGGACAACAACAACAAAAAAGTCACGTTGAGAAAGCAAGGAATATAGGCACTGTGACTTGTGCCACAACCCAACTCACACTCTACTGTCTGCCACAGCCAACCTGACACTTTAGTACACTTAAGTAGCATTCTATGGCAACCACTTTAGGATGTCACCAAAGAGAAATTCATGTATCTCTCCATCCCTTCATTCCCCATTCATTCAACACTGTCCGAGCATCTGCTCTGTGCCAGGGACCAAAGGCACAGACAACAGGAACAGATGGAGCTTTTGGGTGTGAGAGGTCTTTGGGGGCTGAGCCGGGCAGGGAAGGCTCTGGGGAGCCAAACTTACATTACACTGTCCACTTCTAAAGTTACAGCTATTTAGGCCCCACATATTGGCTCTGAGATGTCCACGCACCAGGGGCTGACACAGGTGGAATGAAGCCAGGCCTCCCAAAGCCAGAGTGAACACAGTCAGTGTGATCTCTAACACAGATGGTCATTTGGAGCCACTTCAGGCCTCGGGGACATTGGGTCCTTCAGTGGGTGCCAGCAAACACTTGACAAAGCTTCCAGTCCCAGGCGGCTGAGAGTCTCAGTGTCAGAGCGGCCATGCTCCTTCCTCTCCCTCTGACACCTCAAGGGGCTGCTAGCAGGGTCTGGCATTTTAGAGTTCCCACAGCCTTTTCACAGCAGCACTGAGTTTCTACTTTTGGTAAAGTAGAGGAAAGCAAAGCTTAAGGATTTTAAGCGATGTGTTTAAGCTTATAGAGCATGCAGGTGGCAGCGTGGGGTTTGGTTTGGCACTCAAATCCCCCAATTCCCAGTCCCAGACTGTATTGACTATATTAGGACTTGTGGAGGGGTAAAAGAGATCTGGTAAAGTAGAGCTAAACATTCCAGGTCACCTTGACATAGCTTCCTCTTTGTCTTATGAGGGAAACAGGCATTTTCTTTATCATATGCCTGGAAAATTCCTCAAACACTCAAAAAGCCAATGAGTGTTTGCTTTTCCTGCCTGAGTTTTCTCTTTGTGACAGCAGCTGTGGCAATGAGAGGTGACCAGGGCAGGCCTAAAATGCAGGCATATTCCTCCCTCCAAAAGGAGGTATTTTGAGAGCGGGTGACTAAGACAGAGCCAAACACCAGGCAACACTGCTCACTGCACCTCCGTCCACTCAGGAGTCCTCCACGCGTCCTGCAGGGCAGGATGATGAGTGAACACACTCCACTAGGCCCAGTCCCCAGACTACAAGGTTTGAGCTGCAAGAGGCTTCAAGGACAGACAGGCCTGGCCTCAGGGACTTATGCTATCACCTGGGGCAAGTCACTACTGGCTCTGAGCACCAGTTTCCTCATCTGTAAAATGGGAATCATGATTCCCTGCGAGAGAATTATGCAGACTGTAAAAATATCTGTAATGTTGGCCTACAGGCAACACTAATAAATGACTCATGGGAAGACCAAGCGAGAGGCATCCACAGACAGAAGTCACTTATTCAAATGGGAAAAGCCCCCCTGATGATTCCAATGCACAGCCAGATGTGGGAATATCTCTAAGAAATTAGCCAACTCTTTTAAGACTAAAGCAGTGGTTCTCAACCCTGGCTGCATGTGGGAATCATCTGGGGAATTTTAAAACTACTGGTGTCTAGGTCTTACCCCCAGAGATTCTGATCTCCTGGGTCTGGGCTGCAGCCTAAAGATGGGGATATTTTAAAGCCCCCTGGGTGCCTCTGACGTGCAGCCACGGCTGAGAACCATGGACTTACAACAGCTGTCTGATTACCTCCATTTCACAGGTGGTGAAACTATACCACTGCCACTCATATTATTCCGTCTTTTTCGCTATTACAATTCCTCTTAGTTGTTTGATCTGACCAATTAAGAGAAAGGGAATCAGAGGGGAGAGGTTGTCTCTCCCACCAGCACAGATTTTGCTCAAGGGGGTCAACAACCTAATTGCTGTGATATTAATTTGCAAATCAAGGCAAGATTACCCTAGGCTTTTGGGGATAATAGGAGTAAAAATTTGCAGCCCCTGGCCACTGTACCCACAGCAGAAGCACAAGAGCAGAATCTGATGTGGCTCTATTACACCTGGCAGAGGGCACCAGCAGGAAGACAATAAAGGTGACAGGCCCTTGCTTGCACACCAGGAAGGCTCCACAGCCAGAAGTTGAGGCCCCACAGTGCAGAAGCTGCCCAGCTAGGTCTCAGGGGAAGGGGTGGATGGCAAGGGCCTGTCTAGGTTAGGACAGAGCCATCCAGGGCCTCATCCAGGGAGGGAGAAGTAGGGATCATCTAACCTCTAATGAAGGTCGTTGTCAATCCTAAGTCAAAACTTATGGGCATATATGCAGAGCCACATATTCCTATTTCCCCTGTGGCAACAGTCAATACCTGCTCAGTGGTCTAATGCAGCAAAGGGATGGTAGTCAGGAGGCCTGACTCCTGGTTCCGACCTGCTCTCAAAGCTTAGTGCACTTAACCAAGGAACTACCTTCCCAGTTCCTATTTCTCCAACTGTCACCTGAGGCCTCACCTCAGAAAGCTTCCTGTCAGAAAACTCCAAAGAGCCTGTGACAACCCTAAATGGAAATGAAGGCTTTCCCTTCTCTCCAAATTCCTGTCTCTGGGCTGGTGTCAGGAGACTTGGGGTCTAGTCAGAGCCCTAGCACTAACGGGCCATGACCCTGGGCAGCCTGTTTAACTCTTTCCATCCTTGCCAAATGAGGACAGTAAAACCTACCCCGCCCACCTCCCAGGGTTGTTCAGGAAGTCATAAGATAATGTCTGACACACAACTTTACCATCTAGCACTGCAGAAAGCCATGAGGCATGGGGGGCGGGGCGGGAATGGGGACTCCGTGTCTGAGGCTGGTCTGCTAAAGTCACATAGGAGGGTTTAGTGAAGGGCAGTAAACCCACAAAACACAAAAACTACCTTCCCCTCTTTTGCCAGTATATTCTCCTGCAATTATGTCAGGAACACTCCCCTCTTCCCAGGCTGAGGGCTCAGCTCCTTACTCACTTAGCACCCAGAAGGACAGTGGGGCTGTGTAGAGATCAGTGTCACTGGCAGATGGGCCTTGTTCTATAACTTGGCAGGACCCAGAGTAGCACCCCACAAGGGCTTCCTTGTCGTCTGCCCAGCAATCACATGAAAAGGAGTACACCTAGAACAGCTTCTGGGTGCTCAGAAATGTCTCCAACCCTAGCTCTTATGCTTCATGGAAGAGCCTGGCTCAATTCACCCCCCAAATTTCATTGCCAAGGGGGAATAACCCAGGTATGACCTAAATGTCACAACATGGGATAGATTTTGCATAGCAATGTGGACTTTACAACATTTACATCTGGCTTTTCTCTTTACAAGCTAATTTTATATTTATTCTTAACATTTGCGGGTATCATTCTTAATTCCATTTTACAGATAGAAGACTGACGCCTAGAGAAGTTAAGTGGCTTAGAGGTTGGACCAGGTAGTTGTACCTATGCCTCCTGACTCCAACTCTGGTGAGACTCGCAAGGTAACCAACCAGCAGTGGTGTGCCAAGTAGCGAGAAAAGGTACCCATCCCCAAAGGGAGGAGTATTTTATCACTGGCCTTTTTTAGAATTGCTGGCCCATGGTAATAATAAAAGGCAGACTGACTTTTACTCAATGTTATCATTGGTTTTAAGTTCTCAAAAGACAATGCACTCCTCATGGCCTGCATCAAGGTGGACCACTCCCACTGCCCCTCCCCCACCCTCCATGGGTGGCCATGGCCAGCCAGACTTGCTCTGTCAACTACCAGGAGCCAGCTGCTAAAGGGGTAGTAAGGCCTATGAATAGAGTGGGTCTGACTCATTCCCTTCCTCA